GATACACACGCAAAAGGGAAAAAAACACATAGAAGGAGGACGGACAGTCGGCGGACAGAAAGAAGAAAAAAAGATAAAAAGAGATAAAAAGAAGAAGAAAAGGGAAAAGAAAAGTAAAAGCAACAGAAAACACACACACACACATAGAGATAGAGAGAGAGAGAGAGAGAGAGAGAGAAGAAAGAATGAAAAGAAAGAAGCAAAGAAAAGAAAATGAAAGGAAATAACAAACACCAGAAATTTTCATGTTTGGTCAATTTTGATGATATTTTTTCACTTTTGCGTGTTTAAATTCAATATTATAAGTGGCTAAATATTTTTATTGTGAGAATTGATGATGTAACTTAAGATTTTTATTCTATGTTTAACTTCGAGATTTTCTTGTCATTTTAATACTTGTTAATTAATTATTGTGTGTTTAATGCTATTATTTGTTTACACAACATAATTGATTTATGGATAATACTGAGACTGAGAGTTGATGTATAATTCTAACTTGTGCAATAATTAATATAGACATTATGAGAGATCAATAGATAATTATAAGTTATGCGATTTTTGTTGAATTCCTTACATAGAGATATAGTAAGTTCGGACGTATAAATATGATTAGTGTTGCTCGAGAGACATCACTAAATACATCAGGTTAATTCGATCGTTGACATGTAAGAAAAATGTGTGAATAAATTGGAATTAAATGTATGATAAATAACCTAAGCGAAATCGGAAATCCTAATTACCTCATCGCATAATCTTTTCTCCAGTTTTAATTTGAGTTTGTTATTTTATTTATTAGAATTTCGCTTAGAAAACAAAACTTGATTTGATCATTAGTTACTATTAATTTAAATTGAAGCTGGTTAGTTTAAAAATTTGTAGTAGATAGTAGTCTCTGTGAGACGATATTCGAACTTAATAAATCCACTTTAGCTCTTGTCACGATCCGTACACTTACAGAATTTCACGAACATTTCACAACAATTGGTATCAGAGAAATTCTGATATCTTGTTTGTTTTACAATAATTGGTATCAGAGCGCCAGGTTCGGTAGTTCCGCAAGAGCGTAATGTTTGATTTGTTCAAGGTTTTTTTATTCGTTATGGCTTCCATGAAGTATGACTTTCGGTTTTGGATTGGAGCACTAGATTTTTACTATGACATGTTAAGATACGTACAGTACTCGTATAGCTGGATTTGGATGATGCGTTGCTGTGAATTGACAGGATGCCCATAACTTTGACCGCGGAGGAGAAATTATGGAAGGATAAGAAGACAATTTCTCACATTCATCTTTATCTATCCAATACTATTTTTCAGGACGTTTATAAGGAGAATTCAGCAGCTGTTTTATGGTTGAGGTTGGAGTAATTGCGCATGACTAAAGTCTGACAAGCAAGTTGAACCTCAAACAGCGTTTATACTCTCATCGAATGGCAGAAGTAGGATCATTGGAAGATCACATGGTTGTATTTAAGAAGATCGTTGCTGATTTGGAAACTTTGGAAGTAGAGTATGATGAAGAAGATTTGGTCTAGCTCCTATTGTGTTCGTTGCCATCTTCGTTTTCTTCATTTAGAGATACGGTCTTGTATAGTCGTGATACTCTCACCATAGAGGAAGTGTATGATGCTTTGTATTCAAACTAGAAGATGAAGCATCCGATTTCTGAGGTCAGATATGGAGAAGATCTGATTGTTCATGGTGGTTCTGGAAGGGGTAGATCGAAATCTAAGTTCAGTAATCAAATTTGTAACTACTGCAAGAATAAGGGGAATTTGAAAAAGGATTGTTACAAATTGTAGAATAAAGAAAGGATAGCTGCAAGTAAATATTCAGATACTTTAGGAGAAATAGACATCGCGGAGAATGTTGTAAGTGATGGAGATCTCTTAACTATTTCTGACATTAAGTTTAAACCAGAAGATGATTAGATTCTTGATTCAGCATGTGTATTTCATATGTATCCTAATAAGAACTTGTTTACTACATATGAATCTATTTCCAAATGTGTCGTGGTTATGGTAAACAACACATATTGTCGGGTTACTGGAATTTGTACAGTCAGATTGAAGTATTTGAATGGGACAATTACAACACTGGCCAGGTTCGACATGTTCCAAATTTGAAAAAAATCTCATCTCGTTGTTTATCCTTGGTTCAAAAGGTTATGAGTTCTTTGGTGGATGTGGAGTTTTGAAGGTTTGTAAGGGTGCCCAAGTTGTATTGAAGAGACAGAAAATATCTCAATTATACATCTTGCAGGGTCGTGTAGAATTTAGAAGAGTCAATCAGCACAAGTTCAGGACCGTGGTGTACATTCAGTTTGGTACAATACTTTTAAGAGCTCATAAATGGTCGGATTTGAAAAATACAGTTTAGCGGAGTTCAGGAGATATGAATAATACCGCTTTACTACCATCACCTGCAATGCTATTGTATTCAATTACTAGGGACGGACCCAATGGAAAATGGTATGCGGATGCTGATTTTGTTGAGCATGCTTTAAGTGGAATAGAAGGTGTATAATCTAGCAATGTGCCTTCTTTAAAAGTATTTGGGTTTGATTCTGCTTTGGGGTGTGTTACAACCCATTTTAATTAATTTAAAATCAATATGATTTTTTTGAGAATTTGAGATAATTTTGCAGAGTAGTACTTGGATTCATTGGAAAAGAAAGAGTATTGAGTTTTGTTGGAGAAATTAATTTTTTGGTTATTGTTGAAAAAGTGAGTTCACTCTTTAGTGAAATTCGTGTCCAGATGGAGATCGTTAGAATTTGGGTGTGACTCGAATTTCTTATTGAAGTAATTGAAGAATTCTAATTGAATTGCATATCAAGAAGAATTCAATTTGGAATGCTATTGGAGTTCTTTGTCAAATTGAAGTTTTATTTTGGAAGCCCATTGAGAGTTGTAATTTGTTTTGGACTCGATTTTTTTGTATCTTACTTTATCAACAACTCTACTAGGAGGATTTAGACATCCCATGTATGTTCCCTATAAATACTAGACTCTTCTATACAATTTTATTGTGTGAGAAAATATATTACTAGAATCATAGGATCTATTAAAAATTTTCTCTATTCTCCGTTATTCTTGAGTCAATAAAATCTCTTAATTCCTCCACCATATTCTTGTCTTTATTATTCTTTTGTTTGATCATATACTTCATTATTATTTGCCATATAACTTTAATATCTTAATCCGATGATTTGTTTCACAACACTTATCATTAGACTAATGTGTTGATACGAGGGATGGCAATGAGCAAAGATTTTTCTTTCTTTATTGTTTGGTTTCCCTTTCCCGCCACCATATCTTCTATTTATTAAAAGTGGATATGTAACGGAATTTCTTGTTTTTAACGGAAAAACTAATAGAATTTGTTGTTTTAACGGACTATGTAACAAAATTTCTTGTTTTAAACAGGTAGCTACACCTTCTTTCAGTATTTTTATCATAACTTTGTATTCCGATATCCGATTGAGGCGATAGCTAACTCATCTGGCTACAACTTTGATTCAGACATCATTCTCCAATTCGATCACTTTCTATGCCAAAAATAGGTCTCAATATGAGACTAATACATAGGAGCTTAATTTTTCGGTTGGAAATTGATTTATGATCATCTTTTGACTAAATTTGATTCCATTGACATCTTCCTTTATCCAATTGACTCCGAGCACTCTCAAATCTTCATCGTGAGGTTTGGCACAACTTTTAAGTATTTACATTTTAGTCCCCCGAACTTTGGATCCCTTACAATTTAGTTATTTCTCCAAATTTGTCAACTTTTGCTTATTTTTTTCGATCTCACCAACTTACATCACAACATCAAAATGACACATCTAATTATTTATCAATTACATAAACATTACATCATTAATTATTTAATTAACCAAAAAAATTATATCTTTATTAATAACAAATTAATTCTTAAATAAAATTATTAAATATAAACTAGGCAAACGAGTATTGCACGTTGCTTGCACCTAGTATAAACATAAACGGTGGCGGAGTTGTTGTGCAAACCAAGCGTGAATTTACAAGTGGAACAATTCTAATAGCTGGAACTTTGTTGCTGTTTGATGTTTTAGCAGTTTGTGAAGGTAAGATTAAGTGGCATTGTGAATATAAATTTTTTGAAAAGAGCGATTTGAATGACTTAACTTTAAAGAAGTATAGCTTTCACTGCAATTGCCTATTTTTGTTTTCGGTAACAACACGTTAAAGCACCATGTGAAACCTTCATTATTGTACCAAGAACTTGATTTCACGACCTTAATGGCCCTTTTGAAATTTGTCACGAACTTGGTTTGTTCAAAGTGTCTTATGAAAAATGATTTTCTTGACAATTGTCTTATGAAAATGAATTTTAATATCGCCATTAAGATATGGTACCAAATGTACCAACGAGATGCACTTGATTCCATAGGACCACATAGGTCATTGAATAATGCCATCTAGCATCACCAAATGTTGAATATCAATTTATGAGTCATTAATTAATCATATCATTTCAAAATTAAGAAAACAAGCCCCATTTAATATGACTTATCGTTTAAAAATACCTGAACTAATGCTATATAGCATTGTTTGTAGAATACTAGTGCACATACTATGTGGTATATTTTTTCAAGAAAAATGCCATTTGTCCCATTGGAATCATCCCAAAGTCATGTGTAGTGAAAATGTGGATATGATACCCATTTATTTGATCTTACAATTTGATACCCCATCACATTGAGATAATCCCTAGCACTACTCGTTTAAAATAGAAGGAAATCAGCAAAGAGCAAAGCCAACTATTATTGGTTAGAGCTTGATGGCAGAAAAATATTGAAGGAACCAACTAATCAATGAACATTTCTGTAAACACTAATTTACACAAAATTAGTGGAAAAATATAAGAGTGACCCAGATTTTCACTTCACTGTTACTCCAATATTTTTTTTCTTTTTCCCCAAAAAACTGTTTCCAGCAATTGCGATGAGAACCAGTTTATTCCATAGAAGGCGAAGATGACCATAAGTTCAAAAGCCAGCCTGCCACGATTCCGATGAGTCCAACAAAAAGTGCAAATCTAATTGAGACACCTTGATCACTTTGTCGACTTCTTTGATTTTTAAGAATTTCCTACAAATGAAAAACAGAAATGATGGAAATCATTCTAAAAGAGTGATGCTTAAATTCACAAGTTCAAAGGAATGTAGAGGTTGCATTTGTTTCCATGATTCATAATAAATCTAACGAAGATGTGATGAACAATAGTAACAAAGTACAAGCAACTTGAGTGGAATTTCACGTTGAAGCTGATGTACATCAGACCCTCAAGCCCTCAAAGTACTCTTGTCTAAATGCATCAAGCGACGAATTATTAAATAAGAAAAAAAAGGAAATTAAAGAACTTTTTGGGTGGGACGATATTGACAAAGTTTTCAAGTAGAGTACATATCTAACTGAGAGAAAGAGAGAGGTTATCTCCGACTTACTCTATAAATCCAACTTTAACAATCTGGGCACCACCATCCCACCTCTCAAGCAAAAGAAAAAAGAAAAAGAGAATTCATAAAACAAGTCTCATATTAAACTTTTGAACAGAGTCTGTGTGAACTTTGACAGATGCATCTGTATATAGTTTGGATGATATAACTATGAGCATCTCAAGTAACAAGCCCACAGAACAAAGTTGCACTTCCATTTTCGAGCATTCTAAGCTTTGCTCTAAATTTAGCCTCTATTTGGAAAAAAATTATAATGGTTTTATTTATAAATAGATAGAAATTAGAGGTAGATAAGTGGATAATACTTGTGGGACCGAATGTGTGGCTGAAAATGAAATTTGACCATTTATAAATTAATTTGACTCTTTATAAATTGATTTATAAAGTTTGCCAAATGGAGGCTTATTTGCAAAACAACGTAGGATGATAAGAAACAGACCAAAGTTGAAGGGAAAGTGCAGAAATACACTAACCAATTCCTTCCGTAGCTGTTTTGTTTGCTGCACAGCTGCATCTCTTTCATCCTTGAGACGCTGCAATGCCTGATTCTACAACATAGATGACAGAATTATTTATCACAATTCACAATGACAGATACGAAGAAGTTGAAATCTTGGGTGTAAATTAGCAGATGAACCTTGCTGAGCTTGGTATTATGAATGAGTTAAGGGTGTATTTGATTGACTTTATTTTTCACAGAAAATGTCCCTTTTCCACCTAAATTCCCAATTTTGGGGTGTTTGATTGATATTTTTCCATGGAAAATATTTTTTAAAAGTTGGTCACGTGACCATATTTTCCTTATATTTTCCTCAAGAATAAGAAAAATATTTTCTTTAAGGAGGGGTATGATTTTATTTTTTGGACAATTCACTCCCTCTCTTCTCATCTACCCACCAATAAAAAATGGACAAGTATAATATTTTCTAATTGAAAATTAAATCAATCAAACACATTTAATTAATAATTTTCATGCAGATAAGTTCTAGGCAATTGAATTGTCTATAACTTATTTTCTTTCCATGCAAGGTTCATGCTTGCAATCAAATACGCCCTAAAAGTTTTCAAACTTGGCTCATGTACTCAGCAAGTTGAGCTTGAAGACTGAACGGAATTACTCAAACATTGTGACTAATTTACAATGGGTTGTATAAAATTTATGTAAACAAGCCAAGACAAGAAAATTTATGTACTTCAAAATTTGTTCAAGATCAGCTTATTACAATTTACAATTCTCATGCCAACCTTGAACAAGTTTTAGACAAACAGCTTGAGCATCCTGTGGTTGGCATTTACACCCCTAATTTAAATTTCTGACCAAAAACGGTATTTATTAAACTGGTTATTTCACAAATCAATTACACAAACACATGACATATTGTAAGCTGGTTAGGGGGGTTAAAAATAAGATTTAGCTTAGGATGGGGAGTTACTTGTCAAGGCAATTTTTAGAAAATAAAATTGAAATAATGTGTCTGAAAATTAAGAATAAAAAGGGATTGTAGGAAGTTGGAGGACAAGGACCCTAAAGAGTCGTGAGATCTAGGGCAGCCAGAGAGGATGATACCACTATGAACTTTATATAGCCTTCGCTATCATCTGAAGTACTATTTAAATAAGGCTCGGGGTTAAGAAATTGTAAGCTTTGGACAGCCCCAGCCCCCTCCCAGGAGATTGTGACACAACCTCAGAGCCTCACCTGTGTTTCTAACATTTAAGCTCAAACTTTAGTTTTGCTTGAAAAAGCAACAGGTTGGATTTTAGTCCTAATACAGGACTACCACATGTTCACGCGACACATGCATTCCTGTCTATATTTTTCCCTCTATTAGCTGAGCCAAACACTAAACTTTGTTCCTGGTACCAACAAAGTCCCGAATTCCGTAATTAAACTTTGTTCCTGGCACCTACAAAGTCTCGAATTCTGTAATTCTTTCCCTTTGCTCCCCTTATCCTCTCTCTCCCACCACTCACTTTGAAACTCTCAGCATTATGAAAAAAGCCATCTACAGGAACTGCCCCCACCCACCCAACTCAAAAATTGAAAAGAAAAAGAACAGAATACTATATCAGATTCTTTTATCACCAACATTACTAGAGAACCAGGTAGGAAATCAGAGTCAATACAATAAAATATTCACTAAAGGAAAATTCAGAACTAACACTCACATCATCAGAGATTGCCGATCGTCGGTGCATCTGCAAACCAAAGAAAAATTACACGGAAAATAGTTGCATGGAGAAAGTGCCCTTAATTTTTCGAAATATTATGCTTTGAAAACATTACACAGGAATGTCAAGAGGGGGATCAGAACAACATTAAAAAGTAAATAGTTTGCCTTACTGAATGAAAATAATAGTTAAAAAGATTTGTAGACAGACATCAGATGCAGTAAACAGAAGACGTGAGAAAACTTACTAGATTAGTATCAAAAGATGGTTTAGAGTCATCTTCTAAACTTCGAGGAGTTGAGTTAGAAGAAATATAGATGACCTTAAGCTTGCGCTCCTCTATTATTCGCCCACCCTCTTTATTGAACTTGTTGGATTAACATAAATATTTTTCCCAGAAAAAAATAAAAAGACTTAGATTCTTATAGATACAATCAAGTTCACGGTAGGAGAGGACTATATGCTCACAGTATCTTGCGCAAGCTGATCAAAATCAACATTTGGAGGCACTATCGTGCTTTGCAGAAGAAACTTATCTTTACATGGAATATCTGGAGGGTATTCCCGTTGAGCTTGAAGGGTGACTAAATACAAATCAAAAGACACAAGAACATTATCAATCAAGTTTGGAGCTGTGAACATCAAGGGCAAAATAGTACACCATGCACATGAAATCGCAACATGATATGTATCTAGTAACTTAAGCTATGAACTTAAATTGAGTGGTTTATAATCATCAGGCGCAGAAGAATAAATCATGTAGAAAATGAAAGCGATATGAGGTAAAATATCCAGTTCATTGCTGTATGATTTCAAAGCACCAAAAGGTAGAAGCTATTTTGTGAGTTCTAACTTTTGGAGTATGGAACTTGGAAATTATGTCTTATAAACTGCCCAAAAGAGGTTTCTTCTGAACTTGAATTTGGAGGAGAGATGGGTTGCTACTGGGATGCAAAGCATTCGTTTGGTAAACTAGATCAAAACATTTTGGAATAACATAAACATGATTTATTGCTATTACCATGAAGGGATAATATCTTTAGAAATGTTGGGACTGCTCAATAACACCCACTTTATCATCAAATACATAAAAATTAATTTCGAAGAGGAGCTGACCATGTGTTCTTTGCTTTCAATATTAACACATGCATGTAACTAAATCATGTCTCAGTTTCTGAAGTGAATCTGTAACAATATTCGAAAGTCCAACATAGGTCAAACATGTGATATAAACTAGGCAATTGATTCAAGAACAAGTTAGTTTTTTATAAAATAATGATCAATTAATGACAATGCATATAGTCTCCGTTTCTGACTAAATCCAAAGAAACAGAGAACTATATAGAATATAATTACACGATGTTAGTTTACAGTCTTCTAGGGATCTAGATTTAAGCACCCTTTTGCATTTGTGCCGTATAAAAGCTGCCACTGTTTTTACCCATTTAAAGAATCACATAGCATGTAAAATCTATTAATCGTCGCCATACATTGTAGCACAACAGTTCACCACTAATTGAAATATGAGATGCTGAAGGAAACCACCTCTTATGACAGACGAATCCCATGGATGTATGAGACCAACATTTGGCCGCACAAAGTACTTCTTTGGAGAAGTAGTTTTCACCTAACAAATTAAGTATTTCAAATTAAAGAAGTAATACATAAAATATTCTAAAATACCATAATGTCAGATTGAAAAAGAATAAGTTATCTATTGAGTACTAAATAGAGGTACCTTGAAAGCAACATGGTTCGCTGTGTTGTTTGTAATTTTAAGATCACAATAACTTTGTTTCTCCAGCTCAACTGATGAAAGGAACAAACAAAGTCATACGTAATCACGAGTTTTAGCAATGCGTAATCTACTACAACATCTTGCTAGCTATCTTTTTCCTTAACTTTTCAATGCAATGAAAGACAATTCAATTAGGAGACTCTCATGTGAAAGATCATAATGAGCAGCCAAATTACAGGAAGATAATCATGGACATGTTTTTTTTTTTAAATGCATTTTGTAGTATAAACATCAACGTGCTTTGTGTAGATATATGATCATTGACTTGAACGGGAAGAACATCCAATGACATTTTCACTATTGTAGCTGTAACAGTTCAACTCTGTTGCAAAAGTCTCTTAAATACAAGAAAAAGCACATTCCAACTACGTTCAGAGGCAGGGTACATTAGTCATTCTCTTCGTCCAGGGTCATTATTCCAGAAAAAGAAATCTTTTTTGCCCAGTTGAGAATTCCGTAATCATGGATTGTTGATCTTCCATTAGACAAAGTCATCCTAGCCAATTACCCATGTCATTCTTCTCACTCAGACCAAATAAATTGCATATTCTGAATTTTAACAATTTTGTATCTCTTACAACATACATGACACGTCTAATAAGTCCAAATAGCCTAATAGAAGTTAATTTTACTTGTCACAGCTGGATCACAGCCATCACCTAATAAAATGCATTAGCAATTCCAATGACCATGTATCACAGCCAACTGACATGCAATGAGTCATTTCTCTAGCATTCTGGCCACCGGTTTTCTAGGCTACGTGGAGGTGGTTCCACGAAAAAAAAAAAAAAAAGCATTGTTAACCTCAATATTCTTCACTTCAAAAATCTTAATAACTTTGCTTTCAATCTAAAACATTCACATTGCTGTAGAAACAAGCAAAAAGAAAAGCACACGGAGACATTAGAAAACGCGAGTGAGAAGGAGATTACCATGAAATTTTAGGTCCTCCGGATGTACGGAGACGAACCGGTTCGCAACAACCGACATTGTAACAACGGCCACACCAATCACTACCCAAAACAAGAACAGAGAAAAATTACCTCAACTAATCAATCGAATCCTTTATCGCAAACTATCACGCACAATCAACAATATTTAAAAAATGCAAACCCTAGGTCAAAAAATCTAAAAAGTTCATCAATAATCTCCAAACTGTAGAATAGAGCAAAAAGAAGAAACGAAAAATGAGGATCAGATTGAAGAATTAGAATACTAACAAATTTGGTGGTGGGAAACAAATGCCTCCGCCTCTAAATAGCTGCACGGGTCCGAACAATACAAATATGGAAATCTTACTTTGTTTTGTTTTCACCAAATGCCAATGTCATTTGAAGAGGGTGATTGAAATATATATACTGTACTCAGATCAGATGGTAGGGAGGGAGAGTAGAGAGAAGGAGGGCACGTGGCGGAATGAGATGGGAGAGGACGTCCGATTAAAAAGTGAAAGTTTGAGGACCAACGTCCCCAACCTATTTCCATGTTGTGTTTTTGTCCTCGTCCTAATAAATGTTGCAAGCATAGTTATCACATTTGCCCTACACGTTGATCCAACCAAGGCCATGGATCATCGGGTTACCGGTCCACGTTTATCTACAATATTTAAAAAGAAAGAATTGAAGAGAAACTTTTGAAAGATTATAATATTCTCATTGATTTTGTATAATTCCCAAACTCATCGTTAAGGGCATGTTCGGTAAAGATTAAAATGGGATTAAAATTAAAAAATTAGCCGTTATTGTTGACTTTTATTAGATAAGTGAGACCCAATAATGATTATATTTTCAATTTTAATTGAATTTTAAGCAAGATCGAACACGCCGTAAATTATTATTAAAATTTAGATAATTTTACAACGTACTATTCAATATTAGTGAATTTACAATTATTACTTTAATTTCCCTCTCATTTCCATTTCTACAATATTTTTAGGGTAATTATATTCACACCATAATTTTATTTCTTGCACCACATTTTAATTGTACTTAAGGTTCTTAAACTTTGTTTGTTATGGTACTTATGTCCCTAACAGTTAAAAATGTTATTCTTATTCTCAAATTTTTCATTAGTTGACACATTTTATATTTGATAACAATTTTTTATCCAAAATCCGTTAAAATAACATAAAAATAACTTAATTTTTCATCATATTATTAAGAAATAAATAAATAAAAGTGCAAAAAAGTATGTTACCTCATTTCAAAGAATGAAAATAAAATATTTTGATATAAATCATCATCAAAGACGATACGTATTAATTAATGGAAGGTTAAAGATAAAAATTAAAAAAAAATTAAGAAAATAATTACTACAATGAGCGAAGATTGAATAACTTAAATAATGATGTATCAAATAAAAATCATGGTAATAATATAATCATCCTATTTAAAAATGAAGGATTGAGGACAAACTTTTGAAAGACGATAATACTCAAGATTTTGCCTTTGTTTGAGCCCCATTTAAAAAAAAAAAAAACATTCTTGAATATTGTTTTGACTACATTTTAATTACACATTTTTCAATAAAATAATATTACACGTAAATTCAAAATTTTCCCTTATTTTTTAACAACACATTTCTCATCAATGCACTATTCAAAAATATTTTCTCAAGCAAGCCCTTTGTATAATTTCCAATTTCTCCTTCAATTATTTTTAGAATTTAAGTAATTTTATAACCTACTATTCAATATTATAGGATTTACAATCATTACTTTCATTTTCATTTTATTTAGAAAATTGATCGTTTTCAAAGCACAATAAGCACTCGTTTGATAATCATTCTTTTTTATCATATTTATTTTTAACTATACATTCTCATAACAAAATATTCTTCATGTAAATCGAAAAAAATTTCTTACTTTTTAACCATACATTCTCCCAAAATTTACTATTCAAAATTTCATTATTTTCAAAAAAATTATGTCAAACAAGGGCCAAGTTGATAAGTGTTCTTATCTTCCATAATATATCTAAAGCATATCCACAAAATTAAATAAAAGCACAATATTTATTTCTTTTTCTAGCTCTACTTATGCATAATTTCTACAAACTATAAACTAGTTCTTAATTTTTTTCCCCATTTCAGCAAATAGACTATAACGAGGCCTAGCAATACTCGACATTTAATATTTATTTTTATAGAGTTTTGATGGTGGATAATTCTCTCGATGCAAGTGTCATTTTGTCCAAGTTTATATATTCGATTCCAAATTTAGATTTTCAACTTTTTCATATACATTTAAACAATTATCTTTACTCCAATAAAAGAGAGTGGAGGTAAAAAAAAAAAATATTTATCTATCTATAATATTTAAAAGGAAGGATTGACGAAAATTTTTGAAAGACGAAAATACCCTGATTTATTTTGTATAATTTTCAATTCTTCCTTCAATTACTATTAGAATTTAAATAATTTTATAACATGCTATTCAATATTATAGAATTTACAACCATTACTTTAATTTCCCTTTCATTTCTATTTCTACAATATTTAAAAAGAAAGGATTGTGAAGAAACTTTTGAAAGAATAATACCCTCATTAATGTTGTATAATTTCCAATTCATCATTGAACTATTATTAGAATTTAAATAATTTTATAACACACTATTCAATATTATTGAATAAAATTATTTAAATTTACAATCGCTACTTCCATTTCCATTTCATTTGGAAAATTGATCATTTTCAAAGCACAATAAGTTGATAAGTATTTTTATCTTTCATAATATATTAAAATCAAATCCAGAAGATTAAATAAAAGCACGAGATTTATTTCTTTTCCTAAATCTATTTGTGCATAATTTGTACTGTACAAACTATAAACTTATTAGAAATGATATTTGGCATAACTCAACCTAACAAAATCTGCTTGTTAAGGGAGGATTGTCCTCACCTTATTAAGTGAATCGTGTAAATATTATCAGACAATGTGAGACTCTAATATGCCTCCTCATGCACAGCGTGGACCATGCCGACAACTGTGAACAAATAGATATTGAGTGCACCCAACATTGTAAAATTGGGCCTGCTCTGATACCATATTAGAAATGATATTTGGCCTAATTCAACCTAACAAAACTGACTTGTTAGGGGAGGATTGCCCTCAACTTATTAAGTGGATCGTGTAAATATCACCCATTAATGTGAGACTCTAATAAAAATAACCCTTAATTTTTCCCCATTTCAACAAATAAACTGTCACGTGGCCTAACAATGCTTGACACACAATATTTTATGTTTGTAGAGTTTTGATGGTGGATAATTCTCTTGATGAAGATGTGATTGTGTCCAAATTTAGATATTTCAACTTTCTCATATACGTTTAAACAATTATCTTTGCGTCAATAAAAGAGAGATGAGGTAAAATATATTTAGAGGCTAATTAGTATTTGCACTTAATAAAATCAGTATACCCTTACCCGTTACCCACTTAATGAAACATTTAGTTGGGATGAAGAGGCTGAGGAGTGGTGGGTTCAAACTAAATACAGATGCTTCCGTGAAGGTGAGGATAGGGACAATGCAGATAGGCAGTCTTGTCAGCTAGGACCACCCCAGATTGGTGGACGCTTCCTTTGCCAAAAGAGTCAAAAGTTTTTTTCTCAGTAGGTGATGCTGAGGATTTAGCTAATCGAGAAGATTTATTATTTGCATGTCAACAAGGTTTCAAGATCGACTACATGGAGAGTGATTCCGTGTCTACGATCCAGAGTATCCATTCAGATTTTACTTTGACATCAAATGTGGTGTTTTTATAGGATATAGTTAGGTTACTTCAGGATATTACCAGTGTCTTTTGTTGCTATGTTCCTTGTGAAGGCAACAAAGTGGTCCACGAGTTAGCATCTTTTGCTTATCCGGCACATGAATCATTTTCTGGACTGACTATATAGTTTATTTCTTGCGCTGACGGTTTGCGGCAATATGCATTAATAATATTGTGATGGTTTATAATTATTTTTTTTTGTTCAAAAATCATTTTTTGGACGATTATAGCCCTACTACAATTCAATTATTCCAATAATATCTTATTTTCGTTTTTCAATATGTATTTAATTTACAAACTATAATAAATACTATAATTAATCATCCAGACTTATGAGCCAGGTGTTGGGAACGTTGCATTCTTCCCCAAGAAAAATAAGTTATGCAGCTATTCTTACTTGTGCGCAGTGTGCGATACTTGAAGTTAATTTCATAAGAACGCTAGATTTATGATTCCTCTATTTTGGACTATATGTAATATAAACAAAGAAACAATAAATATCAAATAACAATAGGCTTGAATACAAGAATATATAAATACTTAACCAAGAATGTATTAACATTAGGAGATTATAGGTGGTCTCAAGAGAATGGAAGTAGTATATTTGTGGTGGCTGCAAAACAACGCTGTAGAATTAGCTGGAACCATTTCCACAACTGAAAAGCCCGTCGACACTTTAAAACCACCGGTCTTTAATTGTGCAATTGAGTGGCATTTATTACAAAGCGGCGTGGGGAGTGAATGATCAGTACTAGATAGTCAAGTACTTAATATTAGCAACAAAAGTCGAGAAACCACCACTAAAATTCAACGTTGATAAATTGTGGACTATTGGTAGTATTTGTGAATTTCTCGAAATGTATGGATAAAAAGCAGTTTGAGTGCCGAACATAGGTGTACTAGATTTTGAGTTTATTGAATACTGTTGATGTGTCTGAATTGGTATCATAAATGCGGCGTGGATCAGCGGCGGATCCAGCACTCGGCGAGCTCCGGCGGCCGCCTGTGCTGGATTCGTCGGCATTCAATTTTTTTCGGTCAATGTATTTATTTATTTGGATATATAACTGTGATTTTCTTTTGTTCACATAATGATATGGTAGTTCAGTTGGTTAGAGTACCATCTAAAAAAATGTGATTTTGGGTTTAAATCTCAACTATAGCAATCCCTTTTAAAATTATTTTAGTTTAATATTTTTCACCATTTTAGAGCATATGGGCATTATAAAATCCGGTGCAATTGGAAAATTCAATCTTGCGATCACTGTTGGAATTAGGAAACACTTGACCACTATGGCATTTGGTGGATATTAACATTTCATGTAACGAAATTCTATATGATCTTTTATCAAGTAATAGGTATATTCCCTCTTTGTTTTTAAAATTTTTTTAACTAAAATTCGACTTTACAATGAGATTATTAAAATAGTCATTTTCTGTTAGACTGAAATTATTAGCAAATTGAAACAAGAAAGTAAATAATTGAACCCATTTTTCAAATTTCAAATTGTTACTCGTTAAACATTACTAGACAGGTAGATAGCGTACACTCACATTTACAATTCGAACTACGATATAAGTAATTTCAGTTCACAACATTGGTTATTATTGCGGCCATCAACGACTGCCGGTGCTCACTCAAAATCCTGGATTCGCCACTGGCGTGGATACATGTCCTTAACTTTTAACCTGCCAAATTAATTTGCAATAAAGTTTTATGCTTCCTCCTATTTCTTACCAAACTACAGGTATTGTACAAAAAGAACCAATTAAGTAGGAATAGAAAAGACTTCTTCAAGCCGGCACCCATTCCTCACGCCCATCACTCTTGGTTAATGCTTTCCATGCTCAATTGACACCAACTTCTTCTGCATAACTATAAAAAAGAAATGCATGATAATGGATATTTGCGAATTTATTTCTTTTTTTCCCATCTAATCTAGTTTGTTATTTGTAAAATCTTAACAAGAGAGAATGTGCATAAAACTTTCAAGCAATAAGCTAGCATACGCTATTTCAATAGTAAGACTCTAGTCTAACGTTTTTCACGCTGGCTATATATAATTTGATATGACAAGGTTGGGCTCTTCGATTTTTAAGACTATAATTCAAATAGGGGCCTAATCTTACTTTTTAGTGAGTTTATAAATGATTAAAAACACACAAAGGAATCAAAAGGACTTCATCAGCAGGCTCCAATTCTGCACTCCAGTCACACACCCATTGCTCTTGGTTAATGCTTTCTGTACTCGTTGACGCCAACTCCTGCGCTGCACGATGCTAGTCGCACACCCATCACCCTGGTTGGGGGCTTGTCTGTAATTTTCCCCTATATATGATATTCTATCAATCAATCGTTTTAGCATATTACGAGATTCCTTTTATCTCAACCCTCAAAACCTTCATCTTCTCGTCTTCTGCGAGTCTAAAGATTGAAGTTTTTTATTTCTTCAACTGTTGATTGCATTCTCTGGATCAGTTCTCGAAATTTTAGTTGATTTGCAGCTACATCGACAGGAGAGAAATCTCTCTCCCACTCTTTGTTGAGTTCGCGTGCGTTTGCTGAAGATTTTGGTGTTTGTTTGAGGCTTTTCTGAGAAACATACAATCTGAAGTCGTTCGAAGGAGTTTTTCACTTTTTCTTTGGTCAAGAATTTGGTGTTGACGTTTTTATAGGCCCTCTCCAATTTTCCTTTCGAAGAAGAGGATGCTTCAGCCTTTCATTGACCTTGGATATGCGAGATCTATATAATACCTGATCTGGGCCGTGGAGCTTAGAGGTCAGATCCAGATAGCCAAGTATCTCGCACGTCCGAGGATTTGCAGTTGAGTTTTGTTGGAATAGCATATTCAGCTTATTAGTTCAACAGATCAGCAGCCTCTTCACCAGCACGTTCAGCATGCTTATTGCCTTCTTTCAGATCCTTCTTCAGTTCACGTTCAGCTCCTTCTTCCAGCTTACAAATTCTAGCTTATTTTAGATACTTCTTTAGTTTGTTATGTTTTATAAACGCTGTAAAAATGATTTTTGAAAATAAGTGAATATAAAAAATAGTTAAAAAACTGTTTATGTGAAATGAACTTTTTATACAATTCAATTATTTATTTGCATGTATGATAATAATTAACACTAATTTATATATATCATACTATAATTCAATCAATTAATTTTTCAAGCTCATACATGTACACTTTATATATTTTGGGAGCTGTTCAATTACTCTAAAAATACTACAATTCAATTATTTATGTATGTGTATATATACTAATTAACATTTATTTATGAATATATTTAGGGGTTGTTTGTTTCTGATTCTCAAAATCAATTCTCAAATTAATTCTCATTTTTAACCACACATTCTTCAATAAAATAGTATTTTCCATCACATCAATAATTTTTTTTTCTTTTTCAACCACACATTTCTCATCATATCACTATTCAAAATCAATTCTTCCCCCAAAAATCCATACCAAACAAGCACTTAATATAACATTAAGTCAACAATTTCATGTACACATGTTTGGGGAGCTATTCAATTATTCTATGAGTAAATAAATTATTCAAATTCATGAACACGTATTTTTTTCAAAATTATTCATTTTATCATAAATTATTCTATGAGCATATAAATTATTAAAGATCATATAATTTGGAAGCTATTCAATTATTATAGGAGTAGATAAATTATTCAAGTTCAAGTTCACGTACACTTATTTAATTTCAATATTAATCTTTAATATATTATATAACGCTATTTGTCTAAATGTAAATTATTTTTTTCTATATTCATTTATTCAAGTTAATTAAATTCTATGTTGGTTCTTGTACACCCCTTTTGTTTAAATGTATATAAATTATTATTTTTCTTTATCTATTAATTCAAATTAATTAAATTTCATGTTGGTTCATTTACACCCATTTGTTTAATTGTATATACATTATTATTTTTCTATATCCATTGATTCAAATTAATTAAATTCTATGTTCATGAATCAATTTGATATTCTCGTACAATTCAATTATTTATTTGCGTGCATGTTTAATAATTAATATTCAATTAAATGTATATTGAAAAACGAAAAGTAAAGTACTATTAAAATAATTAAATTGTAGTATGATTCAAATAGTCCAGAAAATGATTTTCACTTCATGCGATATTTAATATATTATAGATTTATTTGTGTGCATGTTTAATAATCAATATTCAATTAAATGTATATTGAAAAACGAAAAGTAAAGTACTATTGAAATAATTAAATTGTAGTAGGGTTAAAATCGTTCAGAAAATGATTCTCACTTCATACGATATTTAGGCCTTGTATGGGAGGGATTTAAATCGGATTAAAATTGAAAATATAGTCGTTATTGTTGACTTTTATTAGACGGGTGGGGTCCAATAACGGTCATATTTTCAATTTTAATTGGATTTTAATCACTCCCGAACGAGGCCTTAATATATTATTATAGATTAAGAAGATTTTAAATAAGTGCAAAGCATGTTCGTGTTGTGTGCGAGCTATAGATTTATATTATGTTGAATTTATTGGGACATTTTTCAATAATTAAGTTACATGGATCATTAATCTACCTCTCTCATGGCATTTCTCCCTTATTCATATAAAACCTGATTTCGAAATAAAATAATTACAGTTTTTAAGCACAATAATCCGCCACTAAATTACTTTACTAGGGTAAATTCTTAAGCTCCGATATTGTGATTCAAAAAAAATGATCACATTACCTTTAAAGAGTTCAAAGATCCAATATTTTAGCTCGAAGAAAAAGATTTCTTTTGATATTTGAAGCCATAACCCAACGCAAAAATTATAGATTATATAAATGAAGTAAAAAAATGGTCATTTATACATTTGCTTTAAATTTATTGAAAAATAAAATTGGATATATGTTATTGTTTTTCAGAACGAAACTAAAAGTTGCTTGTTTGATAAGGTAAATTGAACGCCATATAACTTGCATGATTGCTCGGAGCTCAATTGCTTGTCATATAATTTGGCTTCTTAATAGCTTTTCAGTAGCTTCTTCACTATTCTAGTGCATGAAACCATAGTCCTATGATCGACTACAAAAATTTGAACAAAAAAGAAAGTATCTTCGAAGTTTGTTCGCTCTCAACCAACAACAGACTAATCGTCGCATTCATTGCCATGTCCAATCCGACTCTATTTTAATGAGGTTTTTCGAAAAATATATTTTGAAATGATAATTTCTTGGAGAATGTAAAGTTAAAAAATAATGAAATATTTTAGGTTTACGTATAATAGTATTTCGAAAAATATATTTTTTGTTTAATGGAGTCCAAACAAGGGCATATATTGTCTTTGAATTAAACTACTTGTACAATGTGGCCAAACATGGACTAAATTTATCATAAATGATTAAAGCAAATGAGCAAATGAGAATTGAAATAACAAGAAGAATTAAACTACTTGTACAATGAATTTTCACAATGATTTTGACAATGTGTGAGGTGTATAAATCATTGCCATTGAATTCAAAAACCATCTTTCAAATCAATGGACATAATGCCTGCCAACTCACACATTGTCAAACTTATTGTCAAATTCATTGTACAAGTAGCATTTTTCATTGTCTTTATAGTTTCCCTAGACAATATGATATATTATGCACTTGACATGTTTAGATGTGATGCAGGAGGATCCGAGTCAGATGATGTCGAGTTGTTTGATAGCTCGTTAATGGCGCTGAGGTACTATGAGTTGGTGGATCAGTGCAAAAATGGAAGGTAATCGACGATCTTTCCTAATTGGGGCCGTTTTTGGACATGCTTCGATAATTTGGCCATAACTTTGACTGCAATTATCAGAATCGCGCTCATGACCCTAGTTCGGAAAGCTCTTTCCGACGTGCACATCGTGGTCAGCCAACTTCACTCGGTGTGCATCAATTTCAAGGGCAAAATTCGTTGTTTTCCCTTTCAAATCCTCAATTTTAGTTATTTATAATAATATTTTATTTTAAAATTTATGGTTGAAAATGAGTTTTAAAAAATTATATTTTTTCTTTAATGGAGCCCAAACAAGGGCATATTTATAGATTCCCTAGACAATATGATATATTATGCATTTGACATGTTCAAATGATAGGGTCGATAATTATGCTTAAATTCAATTTGGTCATTATACTTTAATTTTATCTCTTTGCATCACCCCATTCAATTCCAAAACATTGACTAAAAGCAAACCCTTAAATGGACTTTAACTACTAATAGTCTTCCTGCCTTGTTAAAGTATACCATTTAGTTTTCCGATTGACATACATCGTTGAAGTACAGTGATCCAATTAAAATTTAGTTGGCAGTATATAACGTGATTATCGGTCACTTGAGTTGTCTCATTTTCTCCTTTTTTTTTTTTTCCCCGAAAATGGTAAGAAACTTTTATAAGATTAATCAGCTAGAAAAGCGAGAAGTACAAAAAATTCTGAAGTCACCATAATTAGGGAGCTATATCTCCGAGGTTAGGGTCGAATCGCCAAATCATTTTAGTGTAGAATTTAGAAGCAAAAAATTCTGAAAATAAAAAAAAAAGAAACCAGTATAATCTATCGAGCGCCAATGACTGAAGTCTACTATCCTTGGAACGCCGGAGTTTCACTCGAGCTTCCTTAATTTTTGACCCCACAGTAAAAATGGTCTAGGTCCGCCCCCGGTAAAGATCATTACCAACAAAAATCCGGGTAGCAATGGAAAATATCGGCATAAGTTACAGTTTTATATGTCAAAATACATCTATTGCTTTAATCTTCTTAGCTTTCTTCAGTACCTCTAAATTTAAATGTTCGCTGGAACCGAATAAACCACTAGACGACACAAAATTAAAAAGAAAAAAAAAATGAGATTATTGGATGATCGGGGAGCTATATCTTCAAGGTTAGGGTCGAATGGCCAAATCATTTTAGTGTAGAATTTAGAAGCAAAAAATTCTGAAAAAAAAAAAAAGAAACCAGTATAATCCATCCACCCAATATGCACAATAGTTGAATCAATGTAAATTTTGATGACAATCGAACAAGATATAATCATGCAAATTTAAGAGCACTTACAATGAAACCACGGTAAGGAATCAGCATAAGTCTAACCAATCAAAAAAACAGTGGTAAATATAGTTTTAAGTTTATAATAAAGTAGAATTCCCGGAAAATACAAATCTAAGATTTCTACAAAGAGTGGTCTATCATTTGAAAGTGGAAAGCCTGGGAAGCTTGTCTCGCAAATAGTACAGTCTTGCTCTCCTCACTTTCCGGTGTTTGATAACTTTAATCTCTTTGATGTTTGGTGAATATCTGTACAACAAGAAAGAATTTATGAAGATAACGCCTTGCAATTTCGATTTAGAAAAAGATGCACAAAACATAAAACAAGAAAGAACGCTAATAGAGAATAGAGGCATCATTTGTGCCAACAAACTGTTCTCAGTGACCAACTGCATTTCAAATCCATGTACAAAACGCTCTTTTAAATCTAAATGAAGTAGCAGTTGTACGCAAAATGAACATCAAAATCAGAATAAAAAGACAACTTATGTGCAAATGTAGTAAGCCACGAAATATAGAATAATATCATCACGAGCAAACATCAATATAAACTCGTGCACACTTGAAATAACAACAAATTAAGAGAAAATATGCTTAAAGCCCTGTGTGAATCTCTATGAATTGACGCCACCAAGCAAAGTAACTCAACAGATGGAGGAAATTATCAGCTTTGAAAAATTCGATTAATAACACAGAAAACTTGCGTGAAAGAAAGCATACCAATTATGCACATCCCGTGTGCAGGAGGATTGGCATCGCATTAGGAGTATAACTAGAAAAATGATTGAAATTGCAACTGTGGGAGTGCGGGCAATGCTCCAAGGTGTAGAACCATGTATGTCCAATTGAAGATGAATGATTTTAGAAAAAATGATTGAAAGTACTATACTGTGTGTATTTACCCTGCAATGAAGTGCCCTTTTCTTTTACTTTCTTTGAGCAAGACATTGTAGAGTGTGTGGGTATATTTTGTCAGAAGGCTATTTCCCCTCTATTCCCACAGTTTTGAATGGACTGAATGGTGTTAACTGAACAGTGATGAAGAAACACAAATTAGAAGATCAATAAATGATGATTTGTTAAACTCAACCTATGGTATCGTGGGTTCTAGGTGGTGGTGGTTATTTCTGGATAGGATAATGGATTTGGAATTACAAAGATTGGGTGGCAATTATGATGAAGAAGAGAGAAACCAAAATGGAGTAGCTGAGAGAGAGAGAGAGAGCAATGGTAGTCTCCTTTGGTCAATCACATTAAATGAGAAATCAATTTACAATATCATCCATTGTATCTTTCCAGTGGTGTAGACGAGTATAACTTGGGCAGATTTAAAGGTTCCCCTGCCCCCAATACGATTTTGCCCTCCCTCAGATGAGTATCATTCAAATGCAGAGTCTAGCTGTGTGATTAGATAATTGCGTATCCATGGAAATCAATACAATGCTTTTGATATAGCTCCATAAATCACAATCCAAGGGATCAATAGAAGTCTACACACCCTATTATCAGTCAAAAGTTTGTATGCTAAAATCTTCTTGCAATGCTTTATTAATTATTCTTAATGCACTTTGCATTTGAGTTGTTGGCATTCAGAGTGACTAAAGGAATAAATTTAATTAAGTTGAAGATGCTTGATGACATGGTGAAAATAAAGAGGATTGTCGTCTATATATACCACAGTAAAATGAAAGTTGAATACTTACACAGGGAACACAATCTCAACTCCAACACCTGCAATAATCCGTCGAATCCGTATTGTTGTGTGGATGCCAGCATTTTGCTTTGATATAACTATTCCTTTATACACAGATAACCTGCGCTTATTTTCAGAAAATTCCTGAAAGCCATATGAAAGAATTCCATTCAAATGGTACCAAAAATAAAACATAATACTTGCATGTACACATCCAAACTGAAAGTGTAAAATTATAAAAAAATATATAAATATAAATAAAAAAGACAAATGAAAAAAGAAAAATATGAGAACAAGTTACCAGTTTGATCTCGACAATATCGCCTGTCCGAAGATCAGGAGTAGGCCTTTCCTTGTCCGATGCTTCAATTGCTTTCTTATTCAATATCTAATCATACACAAAACAGAAAAATGCCTTCAAACTCTTACAAAAACTTACAAATTCAACTAATTCGTTTCAAAAATCTCAGAAATAAAAATTAAATAGTGAAAAATGGGGCAAAAAAAAAGAGCTCAGTATCAGAATGCTGCAACATTCCAAACAAACCGTTCTGTTAAGTTTAATGGCAGCGGCACCTCTGCCATAATTTGGAGAGACTGCACCAGCGAATACCATCTTCAGCCCCTTAGAAATCTCTCCACCAACACCAGTACAAGCCCAGTCCCCAACCCCCCACTCCTACCCTGCCCACCCACCACCCAAATAAGACCTCTGAGCCAGGCCCAATACCATATCTACCACAAAGTGCTATAGTACCACCACAACAACCAAAAAATACATCCTTAGGCAGATTACGCATGCACATAGCAAAAGGAATTAGTACATGAACAAATCAAACACAGAGAGAATATAAGATGCTAACATGGAATATTATAAAGGTGCACAACCCTTCTTTAAAGACAAGCCAATATCCCTGATTACTAACCTTCTTTAAACTCTTAGATAGTTATACTGTAGCACAATCTGGTCTTGAATAAATTAACTTGGCCCAGAAGTTGCACTACTTTTAAGAATTAAAGAAATTGTTCAGACAAATAGGATGATTTCTCCATCCAATAACCATTAACTAATCTAATTTTGATAGAGATTACTCACTCCAGACTTTAGAAAAGAACAAAAATCAGAATTTTAAGTGCAAGGATAATTTACACCATTTCACTGTTTCTGTTCCATTAATGGATTCATATTAGGAACCTTGGTTCCATTCCTTTCGCTATGCCATACCAGACATGGGATATTCAACAGAAATTCCACCCATATATTCCCAAGTGTATTCTGTTCTAATCAAAATCCCTTATTGGATCACTAAAGTTATTGTTACCGCTTTTCCTAATCTCCTGAAGGTCTCACTCATCACTATTCTCTTGAGAAGATCGTTAAATTGTATGCACATATTTATTCATAAAGTTTTGACATAAATTCATCATCTTCTTTCTCACACTAGTCCCGGAATTCTCTCCACCACATGCCCCAGGGTAATGTTGCCACAATCAATGTCATTTTTCACTAACCATAGAATGATACTGATTTAACCACGAAACGAAATTAATGTCTAATAAAGCCCTAAGCCATTGGACAAAGTCAGTTTGCTCTAGATATAGTTCCGTACTCTGTTTTTTCTGTAATGCAAATGTTAATGTCACAATACTAGACAATGAACCATTAATTTGTGGTAAATATGATATATGATACACCAGCCAAAAAATACCCATCAGAAAAAAATTAATTGAAGATTCAAGCGAGTACCCCCATAATATCTCCAAGCTTAATTCTTGGCGGTCTGGGTGTCTTCTCCTCGGACTGAATCTCAGCTTCTTCAGACTCAACAGCTTCATCATTCTCAGCGCTTTCTTCTACTTCAGCATCTGCTTCTGCTTCTGCCTCTGCCTCTGCATTCGCTTCAGCCCTCACAACCACAGACATATTTTTCCCCCATTTTGGAGGACTCACGCTAACACAACTCGGAGAACATCCGGAAAACAAAGCTAAGGATGAGGGGCGCGGGCCCACCGCCGCTGAAAAGGCCAGCTTTGTCTGTGGCAGTGTGCATTGCGCGGAAATTTTGGGAATACTTAACAAAGCCTGCAAAATTCGTTAAAGAAACCGTAAATTAATTTGAAAAAGAAATAATCAGCATCAACCGTAGAAGAAATTGGTACATAGATTACCTGAAGAAGAACAGCGGAGCCCATGATTATGGGAATTGTGAAAGGTTAGAGAGTCGAGGTGGGTTTTTACGAGTCGAGGGAGGGCCTTATCCGTTTGCGGGATAGGATTATCTAGGGCATGTTTGGAAAAGTTTAAAAATATGAAAATTACTTTTTTTTTTATTTTTAACTTTTGAGTATCAGAGACAAATCATTTAAAAATTAACCATCATTTGGTTTGTTGTTTTCAGTTTTTACTTTTATATAACATTCAAAACTTTATTTTTTTAAAAAAGTAAATTTTTAAAAATAATATTGCCCCTATTTGATAACCATTGTTTGGGTAAAATCGAGTTATGAATAGTGATTATTTGGTGAATGTGTGATTAAAACGAAGGGAAAATTTTGGATTTATGTGTAGAATATTTTATTGTGTAAATTTGTAGTTGAAAATAAATATGTAAAAAATAATTTTAAAATAATGATTGTCAAATTGAAAAATTTTATAAAATAAAGCTCAAAAAATATTTTTGACGTTTAAAACACTCAGGGAAATGTCCAAATTAAAGCCATGTTTGGAATCCATTTTTATAAAAACTCATTTTTTAATACTCATTTTTAATCACGCATTCTCTTATTAAATAATTTTACACGTAAATTTAAAAAAAATCTTATTTTTTAACTACATATTCTTCAACTTTTAACTATTCAAAAATGCATTTTCTTGAAAAAAAATGGAGCCCAAACAAGGGCTAAGTATTGAACTTACAATTAGGTGAACAACATTTTTTTAGAGATGACAAAATTACTCAATCTCGTATTGTCCAGTGCTATCCCATTTCAAATGAAGAAAGGAATATCAACATGTTCAGCAATCGAGGTGGAGATGAGGAACGTCGTCCTAACTATTTTTTTTTATTTTATAATTTACAATTTTAATAGTATTAAAAATATTGAATAAATAAGTTACAATTTTTTTTTAATCCCAACCATCTCTACCTCGCCTTACCCATCGCGCCTTACCATGATGTCATCCCTACATTTTATATAGAATAAAATCTAATTTTAATCTCAAATCCAAGTTAACAATGACTAAACTTACAAATTAAAAAAGCAACGAGTCATTTTTTAATTGTTCTATATGTTTAATCAATCAAGTCAATTTTATCATATACTTAGTTTTTACAATAGTAATTAAAGCAGCAAATAACACAAAGAATTGATGACGAAGCAAGCCCTAATTAGGTAAAAACTCCGGAGCCAAGTTAGTAGTTTTCACTATAAACAATAAGAACTTATAGTATGATTCAACCTAAAAAATTCACCAAACTCGTTGATCTAATTCCTACAATCTCCAAGACCCGTTCAAACGTGCTTCACTCACACTTGCTTCCGATCTTCTGGAATTGTCTATTTCATGTGGATCACTAAAAACACCTTATTTTTGTACTCTTCTTGTATATTTGGTTCAACCTCTCTCAATTTTCAGCATTTAAAAGTTATTGAGAAAGTACATTTCTAATTGTGTTTAGGAAGTTGGTATTTTGGATTATTTGGCTTTGATGTTTTTCCCAACTTGTAGTTGATTGATTTCAAGAATCAAAAGTTTAATCTCAATGTTTGGATGTATTTTTAGATCTTGGATTGATATTATGAGGATGTAAAATGATGATCATTGTATATTTATAATAAGAGGTATTTGGGTAGTATAAGATAGATAGATTTCTTGAAAATTGTGAACTATGATTTCTCAAAAAATATCGTCGCTCAAGTGCCAAGCTAACGACGGTGTTCGTTCAAATGAGAGGCGGACGACAATAATTCTTTTTTTTTTTCGCTCGATCATCAACTAGGCGACATGCTAGCTTAAATCGACGACGCTTTCTCATTTTTCCATACTCGAACTTAAAGACTCCTAATTCATCTATACAACCTCCAAAAGATTTCTTGATTTTTACAACTTGTTTATAACAGTCATATTCTCTTAGAATAATTTTTTTATCTAAAGAATTATCAATACAACTAAAAACCTAACAAATGCTATTTATCTAAATGGTCAACCATTTAGGTATTAATTATGTTTAAATAAGTTATTGCACCTGCATAAATATAAGGGTCGTTTGATTGTAATGGTGGAAAACGGGTGGAAAGAAAATAAATTTTAGGGAAAGTAATTGCCTAAAACCTGTTTTACAGGGAATGGCTAATTAAGTATGTTTATTTGGTATAATTTTCCATCTGGAAAATTTTTGAAATTTTGGATCTTTTTGTTCACGTTTGGCTTTATTTTATATGTAAATTGTCAATTAAAGTGACTTTTTTTTTTACTATTGGTTATGAAATTTGTTATCATTGTCAAAAAGTAAAAAAAAAAAAAATTGCTCGAAAACTATTTTTTCATCAAAATTTAGTATTCGTTTGGCTTCGTTTTACTTGAAAATTGTCCATTAAAGTGAATTTTTTTTTTTTTACATTTGGTTATGAAATTTTTTTATTTTGTCCCAAAATAAAAAAAAAAAAAATAAAAAAAAAAGAAGA